AAATAGTAAGTAATTTTTATTACGTTTTTAAGGTATAAAAATCTATTTAAATTATATTTTAACTAAACAAAGTAAATGAATGAAGGCTGTAAATGTTGCATATGGAATGAGAATTAATACTATTTGATGTTCTGGAATATTCTTACGATCCCAAGAGTAGAGGGGTAAATAGTAAATTCGTAGTGATCTACGTGGAAATCCGTCTTTTCTTGCGGAAAAAGAAAGCGCCAAAACTAGTGGCGATGATTTCTCTCTTGTTTCTGCCAAACTGCTTGATATAAACGCAGAGCAGCGAAGCTCCTTTCAATTCACTGCCCTCTCTGCTTCCATCTCTTCACTCTGTTTCTTCAATTTTCTACGTTCAACCTCATTTCCTTTGAGAATGTCTTCCTTCAAGAGCAAGTACCAGGGTAATTCATCCCTTTCTCAAACTCTTTCCATTTCCGCTTCTTTGATTTCCTCTGTTCCGATCATAATTTCATTTTGGCATTTTTTCTTAGTTCCTTTAAGTACTTCTGTTTAATGGGTTGGTTGATCTTTGTCTTTTGGTTTAGTTTCTCCGATCTGGATTCTTTGTTCTTCTGTTTTCAGTAATTGGGTTGCACTCTGTTTGATCAATGCTCTGTTTTTCTGTCGTGATCTCGAGTTGGTTTGCTCGTGAATTTTCATTTGATTGTGTCCGATTACCCTCTGTTTTCTTAATTATTAGGATTGCACTTCAACGTTTTAAGCAGGATTTTTGATCCATTTTAGCCATGATTCATTGTTTTGAATTTGCAACTTAATTGGGTTTCCTCTGTCTCTCCCTCTCTCTGTTTCTGTACGGAAGTTTCTGGGTAGTGGGAACAGTAATAATTGGGATAAATCTCTGGTTTAAAGGAAATTCTTGTCCATGCAGATGAGCTCATTGCCAATGCTGCCTACATTGGAACTCCTGGAAAGGGTATCCTTGCTGCTGATGAGTCAACTGGTACCATCGGCAAACGTCTAGCAAGTATCAATGTTGAGAATGTTGAACTGAACCGACGTGCGCTCCGGGAACTCCTCTTCCTCACACCCGGCGCCCTTCAATATCTCAGCGGAGTTATCCTGTTTGAGGAGACTCTGTACCAGAAGACTGCGGCAGGTAAACTGTTTCATTTTGGGTGTGTTGATGTTTAGCTTTCTAATTTGATTATTTCTGCAGGCAAGCCGTTTGTTGATGTTTTGTTGGAAGGCGGCGTGTTGCCTGGCATCAAGGTCGACAAGGGTACTGTTGAACTTGCTGGTACTAATGGCGAGACAACCACACAGGGTCTTGATGGCCTTTCTCAGCGCTGCCAAAAGTACTACCAAGCCGGTGCTAGGTTCGCCAAATGGCGCGCTGTGCTCAAGATTGGCCCTACCGAGCCCTCGCAATTGTCTATCAATGAGAACGCTTATGGCCTGGCTCGATACGCTGCCATCTGCCAGGAGAACGGCCTTGTTCCTATCGTTGAGCCGGAGATTCTCGTGGATGGTCCTCACAGCATTGAGAAATGCGCAGAAGTGACAGAGCGTGTTCTTGCTGCTTGTTACAAGGCTCTCAACGATCACCACGTCCTCCTGGAAGGAACCCTGTTGAAACCCAACATGGTAACCCCTGGATCTGACGCTCCCAAGGTTGCTCCAGAAGTGATCGCTGAGTACACTGTGCGGGCTCTACAACGCACTGTCCCTCCAGCAGTCCCTGCCATAGTTTTCTTGTCGGGCGGGCAGAGCGAGGAGGAGGCAACCGTGAACCTGAATGCGATGAACAATGTGAAGGGGAAGAAGCCATGGTCGCTGTCTTTCTCGTTCGGACGTGCCCTTCAACAGAGTACTCTGAAGGCATGGGCAGGAAAGGAGTCGAATGTTGTGAAGGCCAGGGCTGCTTTCTTGACAAGGTGCAAGGCCAACTCGGAGGCCACGCTTGGAACGTACAAGGGTGATGCCAAGCTCAGCGAGGGTGCGGCAGAGAGTCTCCATGTCAAGGATTACAAATACTAAATATGGTTGTATGCTGAGGGACAACAATAAGCCTTTTGAAAGCTTTACTCTTTGTTTCGAGGCATTGTTGAGTGAGCTGCTCTGCTTTCCTTTTCCTTCCGTTGTAAAACAAATGAAGAAAAAAACTACCGTTATTTGTGTTGCTAAATAACTCAAATTAATCACTCTCGTTAATTCTCCTCCAAAATATTATCATTCTATTGGGCCGATCCTATTATCCAGGCCCAAGCCCAAGTCCAAGCCCAAACATATTTAATTATATGTCGGGGGTACCGAGAAAGAGGGTGACGTTGAAGACAGATAAGGTGGGTCTTCTCAAAGTCAAAGAGGTATTTATTATTTTAAATATAATAATAAATTAATATTATTCTATTATTTAATTATTTTCATAAGAGAGATAAGGTAAAGGACCATTAAGAATGGCAGATATCCATATTCAGAAGGAAGTGTTTTGTGAGTGAAAGTGGAGACCAAACCCCTTACAAGTGTTAACTCACATCTCTCTTCTTTGCTGCCCTCTTTCACAACTCTTATCCCTTCCTTATTCAGCCATGATGTAATCCTCCATTTCTATGTCTCTCTTTCTTTCCTCCTCCAACAACCACATAACTTTACCCCTTTAACCTACGTGTAATTACGTTCAAATGAAATATCTTTACCTCGACTAGTGTCTGCCAGGTAGCTCATAATACTTGCTGACCCAGATCGCTAGATTTCGGTATGTTGTTATGAGGGCTTATACTCAAAGTAAACAATATCATACAATTATGAAGATTCGTGATTTCTAACATGGTATTAGAGTTAGTCATGACCTTAACTTAATCATGTCAATAGAATCCTCAAATGTCGAATAAAGAAATTGTGAGTATCGAAAGTGTTAGTCAAAAGTGACTCAAGTGTACTTAATTCGAGGGCTCCATAGACCTCAAGGGGGACTATATAGTGTATTTTATTCGAGGGGAGGTGATAAGATAAGGAATCACTACAGGGAGAGTAAGCTTCGGATTACCTTGTTGATTGAATATCTCAAGGCAAGAACATTGTTTGAGATTCGAATCACTCCACAAGCAAGATCGATCATGTCTAGCTTGAATGATTCTTGTTGATCAAATATTTCAAACACTTGTTTGAGATTCGAATCATTCCACAAGCAAAATTGATCATGTCGAGCTTCAATGATTCTACATGCAAACTAAATTACATAGAATTGCAAATAAACTTAGTCATTGGCTAAACAAAGCACAAATGCTTCTTTTACTATATATTTTTCAAGCCTCTTACAAATATAACATACATGGCTTTATATAAGCCTCAAAATGAAACTACTAAAACATTCCAAGAGTTGTAACATTCCTACTTAACGGCCTTAATTAACCATTATGTAATTATAACCTAAAGTAAATTAAAAGTCTTAAAATACATTAATGAAGTACATTAACTCTAAATTACTCTAAATTGTAATCCACCCAAAATTCAAAACATGAAACTTCCTTCTTCTTCATTGTGGCATGAATTGAAATATCTTTTGATAATTTCAAGAATATTTTCTTCACATCTTCATTGAAGCATATTGTATGATTAATGTCTTTTGGTTCATATCAGGAGGATTGTTGAGAGTTCTCCAATGTTACAACTTTTTTAAAAAGAAAGAGAAGAAATCTTAGGTTATCTCTTTGAATCGGAAGATTTATAAGAAGTTAACTCTCATTTTCTAAATACCTATTATCGAACTTAGATTAAAAAAACATACACATAAGTCGATGAGATATTGAACGTAAAAGCACGATTAAATAATATTTAAACTTAAAGATTAAAATAATAATGTAAATCTAGGGATTTGAAGAGAATGATTCAAGTGATTAATTAATCATTTTTTTTAATTTTTTTTAATAATATGTATTTTGTAATTATTTATAGGAAAAGCTGATGGCATCTCCAATAGTAATAAGGACTCATTGGAACTATTTTGTTCAAACACACACTCTATAGTCCATCTCTGCCACATCCTTAAAAACGACATTTTCTCATTTAAGGAACCTCATGTTTGTCCAAACCTAATCCATGCATTATTTTCCCTATTGTGTCGTACCCTTAAAAATAACATTAAAAACTTCGAAATCTACGACAGTTTGACTCTTGATCCTTCCTAAATAATATTTGACTCATAAATTTATTAAGATTCAAAATATAATTTAAGTGTTCGAGTTTAATCTATCATGATAATATTAATTTAAAAAGGTTTTGAAATTTGGAGGGTATGTATAAAGTAAAAAATTATAAATTTAGGAAACTAAAATCTGATTAATGTCTATTTTTAATTAATTGTAAAATTGATGATTTTTTTTTTTTTTTTTTTTTTTATAATTTTATTAGGGTATGTAATAATGGAAGAAGACACTGGTGAGGAACAGACATATTTGTCTTCTCAAAGATAGAAAATTAGCAATAAATTTAGAAAGCACATGCAAAGCAGCAAAAATTGACCATGCAGACATATATATATGATTATTATATATTTCCTTTTTGTTAATTATTTGCAGTTAAAATTAGGGAAAAAAAAAAGATAATTGGGATGAAAGTGCAACCGCTTAATTCCACTACTAGCACTTATTGTTCGTTTTGATTCGTTGTGTATCGCCGTCAGTCTCACAGTTTTAAAATGTTTCTAATAAAAAGAAGTTTCCACACCTTTATACGTAATGTTTCGTTCTCCTCTCCAACTGATGTGAGATCTCACAATCTACCTCCCTTGGAGGCCAGCGTCTTCACTAGCACATTGTTCGGTGTCTGACTCTTATATCATTTGTAACAACTTAATCTCACCGCTAGCAGATATTATCCGATTTGACCTGTTACGTATCACAGTCAGCTTCACAATTTTAAAACACAAGTCTTAAGGAGAGGTTTTCACATACTTATAAGTAAGGCTTCGTACCCTTCTTCAATCGATGTGAAATCTTACGTAAAGCTTCAAAAGAGAAAAAAAGGAGAAGGAAAAAGAAAAACATTATTTGATTTAATTTGCAATAATAACTGTTGGATGAAGAAATCTGATGAACTTAATATAATATATTCAATAATTATCAAATCCCAACCAGCTAAACCCTAGACCAGACAGTGAATCTCTCTCTCTCTGTCTCTGACCATGTAGCTGTAATGGATTCCATTGTCAAAGTCTTTCAAGTTTTGCATAATGACTTCATCATTAGCTCAACTTTGGTCACTTCCATTGTTGAGTTTCAGACCAAAATTTTCCCACAAACCAGATTGAGACTGATCTCCTTCACCCATCAAGAACCGAAAGCAACTATCTTGCACCACATGGCTGCCACCGCCCCCGCCCCCACCGCCAGCATTCGAGCTGTTTGGACTTTGTTCTTTGATCTCGGCACCGCCGCCGCAGGGTCCTCCGCCGCTGTAGAGGGAGGAATCTGTTTGGAAGTAAAGATTGTAGGTGGTGGCTGATCTTGAATTCTCCTTGCGTTTCTTGTTGCCTTCATCTATTGTTTTCCTTTGGTAATTATTGTTGTCTACTAGTTCTCTACCGGTGTTGTTGTTTAGTATTTCGCTCCCGTCTTCGTTTTGGTTATCGCTGTTATTCCGATGACGCTCCGGTGCGATTAATCCGTGGTCGGGCGAGGAGTTGTAGTCTCTCAATTCTCGTCCCGTTAGCCTTTGCAATGCCTCCATTAATGCTGCATCTCTAGCCTCTATCCATGCTCTCTCCTTTGCCCAAAAGCTCCTCTCTCGGTCCATTCTTGACACTTCTTGTCTCCTCCATTCCTCCTCACGAATCTGAAAAAAAAAAACACAAATTATTGGATTAAAGGATTGCAAATTCAAATTCAGATTCATATTCAATGCATTGCACAATACCATTCTATCCTTTTCCTTTTGTTCAAGAGTTTTCATGAGCTTCTCCAACCAAGCCTCTTGTTTATCAATGAGCTTCCTCATTTGCGAGTCGATAAACTGTTTGATCTTTGCCTTCCAGCATTTCCCACCTCGTCGTTTCCGTCTCTTCTCGACCGAATCGTTGTCCATAATGCCAACCGAGCCGAGGTCATCGTTGTCATCAGACGAGGCTGAGGTTTCAAACTCGGACGTGTTAGAGAGACTGAGGCTGTCGCAGTAATGCTTCTGTTGAGTTTCGTAGCTCATTGGTAGAGCGGTGGTCGGATTGTTAGTCCCATTTTGTTGGAAGCTGAGGTTGCTGTCTCCAACAAAATGGGAATCTGGAAGTTGAGCTGAATTGGTTGTTTCACCATAGAGAGCTTCCAACTGCCTGAAGAATCTGTAGTTCTTACCATCTTGTCTTCCAGCTTTGCCTTCCTTTGTCTTTTTGTAATATTTATACAAATTCTCAAACTTTTCTCTGCATTTTTTCCCACTTCTTTGATAATTGTGTTCCTCAGCCATGATTCTGAAACAAAAACAACATCTTTTCAATCAAGAAACAATTTTTATTAATGATGCATGTCAGAACAAAAAAACCCTAGATTTCAAAATCACATTTACCCCAAATTCTAACAAATTCTTCATCTTTCTTGCTCAAGAACTAAAATCAAAGCCAAGAACTATGCATTTTTCAAACAATAAACAAGACCAAAACTTTGATCAATTTCAAGATCACGAAATTGGGTTTCAGAAACCCTCTTATTATTATTATTATTATTATTTCAAAAAGTGAAAAAAAAAAAAAAAATGAACAACTTTGGAGTGAAAGACAGTGGCACAAGTCCTGTCTCTCTTCTTTCTAGAAAGTAGATTCTAAGACAACGTTAAGAAAGCAAACCAAGCAGCTGAATTCATGTAGAGTGTATGGTCATTTTCAAATTTTAAAAACATTGGAAACCAAACTCAAAACCCTCCTTAAAAAAATTTTAAAAAAATCAAAAAAATCAAAACTTTTCTTCTTTTGATACACGAAATTGGAAAAAGAATGAACACCCAATCTCAAATTCCGGAACTTGTTGTGTATTAATGAACATGTTTGTTTGTTTGTTTTAATTTATGCTCCAAAACAAAGAATCAGGAAGTTTTAAAGAACATGAAGATATTATAAATAGATACCTTGAAACTTCATCCCAAAGGGGTCCTTTTTGGTTGGCTTCTTTGAACTTAGAATCAAGTCGAGATCTGATATCCAAGAGAGTGAGAGTTTCTTGGCGAGGCCATCGGGGCGTGGCGCAGTCGGCAGCGAGTGAGGCTGTTTCGAGTTCAAAGGCGGTGGGAGCTGTTGGAGCGGAGACAACGGCAGGGGGCGTGGCAGCGGAATCGGAGCGGAAGTCAGGGAGAGGATCCCGTGGCATCATCATGATGAGGTCGTAAGGGGTATGATGGTGGTGGTGGAGGTGGTGGCGGAAGGCGGCGGCGGAGGAGGAAGTGGAGGAAGAGGAGAAGAGATCATGGTGGGGAATTGAGGAAGAAGAGGGGAAATGGGAGCGAGATGGAGGTGTAGTCATGAGGTGGCGGAGATCGGAGAGGGCATATTGATCATCCATTTCCATGGGAAGCTTGAGAGTGTGAGATAAAAAGAAGAGGTGAAGAAAAAAAATTAAAAAAAATGGAAAATTAAAAAAGGGAAGAGAAGAAATGAAAGGGTAGCGGCAGGCTCGGATCTTGTCGTCCACGAAAAAGCTAGAATTTACGCAGTGGAGTCAGGACGATGGTCCCATGTCTATGTCTAACACTCTCTATGTTCTTCTTTTCTCTCTCTCTCTCATATAATTTCATTCCGAGAGGGCGCGAGTTGGGTGTCTCAGATGTAAAGGTTAAAACGGGCGAGCATGAGTTAGAACTATACTGCTAGGGAGAGTTTTTCATACCCTTACAATGAATGTTTTGTTCTTCTCCTCAACCGATGTAGATCTCACAATCCACTCTTATTTGGGACCAACGTTATGACACTCGTTCCCTTTTCCAATAGTTGTGGGATCTCATAAAAATAAAAGGGTTTGTGGAGAATGAAACATTTTTTTTATAAAGGTGTGGAAACCTCTTGCTAACCTATGTGTTTTAAAAATTTCGAGGAAAAGTCCAAAGAGAACAATATCTGCAACCGGTAGACTTGAGCTGTTACAAATGATAACAGAGTCAGACACCGGACGATGTGCCAACGAGGAGGCTGAACCCCGAACGAGGGTGGACACAAGACGGTGTAATAGCAAAGACGTTAGGCCCTGAAAGGGGTAGATTGGGGGTCCTTGATCGATTGGAGAAGGGAACGAGTGCCAACGAGAACACTAGATCCGAGGTGAATTGTGAAATTTCACATCGGTTAGAGAGGAGAACGAAACATTTTTTTTATTAGGGAGTAGAAACCTTAACCCTAACCTATACAATTTTAGTGTTTTGGTAGAGGAAAAGGACACCAAACAACAAGTTGAGTAAAGACGAGGTGGGTGTGGCCTCATGAGCATTGCTCATGTTTGCGGTGCTTAGGATTCTGACTTTTTGACTTGTCGCATTCCCATTCTTTTTCCTACGCGCTCTGCCATGTCACCCCCTCTTCAACCACGGCGTCGTTTCATTAACTTTCTCTTCCACCAATCACAACTCCAGTCAACCTGGTCAATTGGAATAGTCAACCCAAGCTACCACAGAATCAAAGTGGTCATACATTCGCCTTTTAGTTTCCATTTCTTTTCCCTATATTTTTTTTATTGTTGTTTTCTTTCTAATAATTTTCCTTAAAAACTTTGTTCCATAATTTAAAAAAAAAAAAAAAATTCAACCCACCCTTTCTAATGAATTAGAATGATTGTTGATACTAGCTCGTGACAGCTCGTGTTTATATAGTTGGTTCGATTGTGAGCTATTGAGTCGAGTGACTGGATTTGAGAAATAGTCTACACACGACTTTCTTTAGTTCATTTTGAAAGAAAAACCACCCCTACCTTTATAAGAATACAAGGAGGATCCCATTACCTTAATACTATGGAGAGATTGTAACTGCTCAAGTCCATCGTTAGTAACTATTGTCCGTTTTAGCTTGTTATAAGTCATGTTTCGTTCACTTCTCCTACTGATGTAGGATCTCAAGGCCCGTACCCTTCTTCAACCGATGTGGAATCTCACAATCCACCTTCCTTGGAAGCCTAGAGTTCTTGTCAGCACACCGCCCGATGTTTGGTTATGATACCATTTGTAACAACTCAAACCCTCTGCTAATATATCCGTTTTAGCCCGTTACGTATCGCTGTCAACCTCACGGTTCAAAAAAGAGCTTTCCATACCCTTATAAGAAATATTTTGTTTTTCTCTCCAACCGATGTGGGATCTCACAGAGATTGAGTTTATTGATTAAAAAGTAGAGATTATCGTACCATAATAAGAAGACACAGAAAGGACGGGAAACCCTAGAGTAAAAGGGAGTTAGATTATTTGATATTTGGTGAAGGGGGAGTGGAGGATATGGGCGTAGGAAATGCGAAAGGAAGAGCAATAATTGAAAAGAAGAGAATTACTATAAGTGAGAAGAGGGTAAGAGAGAGGGTTTCAGAGGGGTGAGGGGGCTGTGATCGGCTGCCAGTTTGTGCGTTGGGCTGTGCCTCTGATGCGTGTGGAGCCCCTCCCCTTTTCCTTTTCTTTTCAATAACTTTGTCAATGAATTCAAACCACAACCCCACCATTTCCCATCTGACCCATCTGATTTTTCAAACCTCATTGCACATATTTTCCCCTATCTACTCTCTCATCACCTTTTGTACTCTTCCCATTTTCCTTATTATTTTAAACCCATCAACATTCACTTTTTTTCTCTCAAACCTGTGTCGAGTCAAATTATGTACTTTTGGTCAAAAAAAAAAAAAAAAAAAAAAAAAAAAAAAAAAAAAAAAAAAAAAAAAAAAAAAAAAAAAAAAAAAAAAAAAAAAAAAAAAAAAAAAAAACATCTCGAAACACTGCACGATCCATTATTGCAGAGCATTTTTAGTGTCGAGACACATACTCTTTGTTCATTAAGGATTTTTCAAGCTCACTCCTAGTCGATATTGCCTTTTTTTAACTTTTTCCTTTTAGGCTTTAAAATGTACCTACTATACTTTGAATGTTTCGTTCTCCTCTCCAACTAATGTAAGATCTCACATATAGAAATTTACTCGATGAATCATTAATAGTTTGTGATATTGATTTTAAGGATTGGAGTATATGGGTCGGATTGGAACGATATCAATATTTCTCTCTCATATTTGTTGTAAAAGTATTTTATAATGAGGCATTATTGAGTAGACCATTTATGAATTAAAGATTTGGATACGTGTTGTGTATTAAATGTTAGCCATGGAGCTGTTGCTTTCCCCCATCACTTTCTCATTCAACACTCAAGAGGTACAAAAGAGTATTCATAAGTGCTGAGGAAGTTCTCATGTTCTGATCCACTTGCTCCATTCTCTCAGTTGGTTTGCAGTGAATTTGCTTATTGCCATTGATGGGTTGCAACAAAGCCAGAAAGCAACCTATTTTCTTTCATTTTTTCACTTCTTTGGGTAAAACAAACAAATATAAATTATTGTTTCGATTCTTCAATAAGATTATCTTGTTTGAGACTCGAATTATTCTACCAGTATTATTGATCATGTCAAACCGGAATGGTTCTAGCCATGCAATCTAAACTACTACAAAGAAACTTAACCCTAATAGTAATTGAAAAACTCTCGACTTAATCACATATTCTTACAAATGACAATCTTACAGAGCTCCATAGCTTCGAAGACTTCTATGCCAACACATCTATATAGGCATTCACAAGTGTAGTAAGGCTAGACCGTTGGAAAAAAGGATAGTGAAAGAAATAAGAATAGATAGAATAGATGAATGCTGCAATGCTTTATTATTGTCTACTGACTTGATGCTTAGAGGGTTAAGCAATTCCCGTATTTATAGCTTATACACTGGACCAGAAATAGTAAATCATCCAATCTAGAAAAATTCAAATCTACTAACAATCTCCTAAAATCTCCTAAAATCTTTGTAGTTTGAATATTTGAATCATATCTCAATTACTCTGAATCATATTTTTTTTTAATACTTTGAATCATATCTCAACACTCCCCCTTGATTCAAAGTTGCAAATGCCAAGTAATCGTCTGAAGTAGCAAAACTTTTTTGACAAAGCCTTGGTAAGTATGTCTGCTAGCTGTTCATCGGTGTTACAATATTCCAAGACAATTTCTTCGTCTGCAACAAGATCATGAATATAGTGATGTCGAAGTTCAATATGTTTTGTTCTACTGTGAAACGCTGAGTTCTTTGTCATAGAAATAGTTGCTTTATTATCACAAAATATCTTTGTTGCCCCTTTTTGCTCTTGTTGAAGATCATAACATTCTTCTTAGCCAAATAACTTGACACGCTGCTGAAGTTGCTACAACATATTCTGCTTCTGACGTTGACAACGCCACTGTTGCTTGCTTCTTTGAGCTCCAAGTGATCGCTCCTGACCCTAAAGTGAAAACATTGGCTGAAATGCTTCGTCTATCATCTAATGATCCTGCCCAATCACTATCAGTGAATCCATATAGTTTGAAATTAGAGGATTTAGAATACCAAATTCCATACTCCATAGTTCCGGCAATGTAACGTAAGACTCTTTTTGCTGCTCCATAATGAACCTTTGAAGGATGTTGCATAAACTTAGAAATAATACCAACAGGAAATACAATGTCGGGTCGTGTGTGAGTTAAATAAATTAATCCACCAACCAAGCTCCTGAACCTTCTAGCTTCTGTCATTTCTACTCCATCATCATGTTGTAATTTCTCATTAATATTTATAGGTGTAGCTGCAGGCTTACAATTAAACATACCATACTTCAAGACCAAGAAAATAGTGTAATAGACCCATATCTGACATCTCAAATTCACTCATCATTTGAGACTTAAATTTATTCAAAAGAGAGTTAGAAGAGTTAGAAGAGCTAGTGTAAATAATATCGTCAACATAGAGGCAAATAATGATGAAATCACTTTTACCTTCCTTCTTCACATATAAAGTAGGCTCATTCTCACTTCTCATGTATCCTTTCTTTTGAAAATACTCATCAATCTTGTTGTACCAAGCTCGAGGGGCCTGCTTTAATCCGTATAATGTCTTTCTCAACTTGTATACATTTGTTTCTTTGTCCTTCTTTATGAATTCTTCTGGTTGTGCTACATAAACCTCTTCTTGTAAATCTCCGTTAAGAAATGCTGACTTAACATCAAACTGATAAATCGGCCACCGCAATTCTGCTGCTAATGCTAGAATAGTTCTTACAGTTCCAAAACGAGCTACTGGAGAAAAAGTTTCTTCAAAATCTATACCTTGTTGTTGTGCATACCCTTTTGCTACAAGACGAGTCTTATGCTTTTGTATGCTTCCATTTGGTGCAAATTTTGTCTTGAACACTCATTTCAAATTGATTGCATTTTTTTCGTTTGGTAAGTCAACCATCTCCCATGTTCCATTTTTCTCAATGGACTGCATCTCTTCTACCATGGCTTTCTTCCACTCTTCTTTTTCAGCTGTTTCTTCTATGGCAGCCACCACATGGTCAAACTTTGGAGTCAAGCTTCTCAACATCTTTGCAACAATTGTTTCGTTTGAAATTTTCTCTCCATAGGTACGCATCTGACTGACTATTGCCATTGCTCTTGACAAAAAATCAGCAATTGATTCTCCATTCGTCATGAGTAGAGTTTCAAAATCACGTATTAGAGATTGCAATTTCATTGTCATGACCTTTGAATCTTCTAAAAACTCC